TATAAATGCAACAACACTCCATAAAGAGTACTATGGTTATTTGATGGATAAAGTCAAAATTGTTGACATTTTTGGGTTCCATAGCAAAGGCAAAAAGAGGACCTTTATAATTTTGTCATATCTTTATGTTTGTCTGTATGTTTTAGTTATTTTACTCAGCGTCTATTAGAGGAATACGATTATTACAGAAAGTAAAATATCTATCAGGATATATTTGGATAGATTTTTAGTTTATTTTATGTAAGATCAAATTGAATATAAAACTTAATTACTCTTAATATAAATAATTATTCACGCAAATTACGTACCATTTGAATCAAACAATAAATTTCAACGAGACTATTTTTTTAATAACAAAAGGTAATATGTAGCTAAATATCACTTCAATCGGTTAAGTAGATTAATTTCTTTCATTAAGCTCTCATATATGTATTTTTATAATTACATTTCTATTTGATTGATATATTTATATCTATTTTATTTGTATATTTATAATGAATGCAAGAATTGTTCTAGTCGTATTACCAATATGCAAAATAGTCCCGGGTCGGGCCAAGTTTAGTTATTGAGTCTTTCTGTATATTAAGCCTCAGTAACAGCCCGGAGTTGGGAAGTTGGCGGTGCTTCGGAGAGCACGTAAAGCCGTCGGTCTTGCGCCTTAACTCTCACTGGTCGTGTCGAGCCCACCGGAGTATGAGAGTGACAGGAATAGAGAGTGCACTTGTGTTTGCGCGTGCACTTGTGCACTATAATATCTCCTGCGTAGTTGGCTAGTCTCAATGAGATTGGCCGGTCGGATCGGTCAGGAGAACATCATCATGCAAAATATTAGCAAAAGTTGGAAAAAAGTCTTGAATCATATATATATTATATATATGTATATACATACATACATACGTGTCATATGTCATAAGTGTGATAAAACGTCAAATATTTGCGTAAATCTAAGAAAGTAATATTAAAATGAAATCAATACTATTACTATTTACTAAAATATACTCAACAAAAGCTAACCAACGGACAGATCGATATTTTATATATAAATATATTCCAAGCTGTCATATAGTAACAAGTTCCAAGTACCTGACAATAACGGTTATGATAATAGCTGCATCTATTGAACTCTTTCAATGCCCCGAGGCCTTAAAGCTATAATACTTATTCATAAGTGAGAAATCATTTACTATATTAGAAGCCTGTGACTTTACCTTTGTGTGTAAAAATAATAGTATTTTGACTTATAGGCCTAAACTATTAGTCAAATATTTTTATTTTTTTATATTTAACCGACTTTAAAAAGTAAAGGTACTCAATTCGGCAGTATTTTTGTGTTGGGTATATTTCATTGTTTTAATTTTTTTAATGAATTAAATTCTACGTGCAACTTTAAAAGCTTATATAATTTATTATACGTTATAAATATAGCAGTTGATGAATCACCATTCATAGATAAATATAACTTATAATATTGCTATATTTAATTGTGTTAATTAAAAAAATTTAAAATGTTTAGAAATAAAAATTAACAAATATTGTAAGGTACTTTGGTGCCATTTTTGAATGTTTGAAAGCATTTTAGAAAATAGTGGGTAGGCACTGTCTGTAACAAGTGTATAACGCCTTCGAGACGTCTATAACCTCAGTCTCTCCCGTGACCATGATTGCTGTAAAGCATTTGAAACGTCGGGAACCAAAAATCAAAATAAATCCGCGAAATAATCCGAAAAGATAGTTTTATTTAAAATGTCAAATATGCGCGTAAATCTAAGAAAGATAAATTAAAGAATTTTTGAAATCGGTTCAGTGGGTTTAGTCATTTTTAAACGCTATATACTTTATTACTAAATATGTGGAAATGTCATACCCAAGTTTAATGTCGCGTGGTCTTAATATATGATTTCTATACATTGTACTCAGCCCTTTTTTTAACTTCCCACTGCTGGGCACGGGCCTTCCTTCATTACAAGATCAGGCCATAGTCCACCACGCTGGCCAAGAGCGGGTTGGCGGACTTCACATGTCCTTCGAAAACTTGCTAGGTTCTCTTAGACATGCTTCTTCACGATGTTTTCCTTCAACGTAAGATAAGTGTTAATCATGAACTAGAAGTGATTCTCACATGAAAATATCAGAAAAAATTCTATACATTATTTAAATTATATTAGTAGGAAAACAAGAACGTACATGAAGTTGTTGAATTCTGTTCCTATTAAATCTTTACAGATAAAGTATCAATTAAAACTGTAAAACAACACAACATAAAAAAATCTAAGTGACATTTCTTCGAGATACGTTGTTACAGATAGTATTTTCCTCTTCCAAATAAAAAATCCGTTTCAAGGAATATGAAACGAAATATGTCAAAGGAAAAATCAAGTAATTGATACCAGAGTTATCGTAGCCTAGAAACGATTAAAAAATTGTCTTTATATATAATATAGTATCCATACTTATATTATAAATGTGAAAGTGTGTTTGTTTGTTTATTTGTTTGTCCTTCTTTCACGTCAAAATAAAGACATGATTGGCGTGATTTTTTGTGTAAAGGAATTCAGAGGGCTGGAGAGTGATATAGGCTACTTTTTACCGGAGATCATCTTCATTCCCACGGAAAAAAACGGTATGATACAATTCAAATTTTATTTCTGATGAAAGTTAATTGAAACTTGGTATTAATGTTTTTCAATACAAATAAATAAATACATATTTTAGCATTTGTCGAAATTCATCCTGTAAGGGGGTTAAATAGGGGATGAAAGTTTGTATGAAACCTTGGTACCTACCTTTTTAGAGATTTTTTTGTAGTTCTAGCGCGAGCAAAGCCGCGGGTTCTGCTAATAGGCTATATATCGTACATTATATAGTGTATCTTTTATAGTTTTTCTTTTTGTAGGGACGAACTCAAAGCGCAGATGAGTCGCTAGTACTACATTAAAGAACATGCAACAGTAAAATAATTTCAATAGTTCAAGTGTCTATGAGAATGAAGTCGAAAGCGATGAACTAAGATATATACAAACTACACCTATAGAATACAAAAACACAAAGCTCCCTGTAAACGTAAATCTTTTACGAAAGTGAAAGTTTGACGATCTTTACAAGTCACATATATTACAGCTTAGCTTCTGCCTTAGGTTTCACTCGTATTTAATTCCTTTATGAGAAAATTGTAAAATTTTTAGCTTTATTTAGAAATTAGTCTAGATGAGTTATATACAATCCATGTTGACAAATATCTGACTGGTTGATAATTTTTTTAATAAATTACGTTATCATTAGAAACATTATTTTGTTATATGTAAATTGTAGATGACCTCTCATAAAAGTTTTTTTTTAAATTCAACCCCTAGAGCCGAAAAGCGAAGGCAAATATTTTACCAGAAACTATATTTTAGGAAATATTTTTTATATTAATATTGACTGACAGACGTTGTTCTATAATTTCAATTTTATTTGTGATCTTTAATAAAATAATTATTAATCTCAATAACAGCGCCACCTAACGGGTAAATCTAAGAAAAAGTATAAAAAAATTATCAAAATCGGTTAAGTCATTTAGAAGAAGAATTACAAACACACGCACACCGGAACTTTATACATACATACATATTATATAAAGATAAAGATGATAAGCGTTTTTCAAACGACTATAATAAATTATAATTTTTTTTTAGTAATATGCACTTTCTTACTGTATTTTACGTAACACCTATCCATAAAATATGTAAATTTCAACTTGATAAATAATAATTACAAGTTATATTTGCTTAACGTATACTATAATATATTGGTATACTCATTTTATACTGTTATAAAGACGTAACATTGATATTATATTTGTTTGTAAGGTTGTTTGTGGGACACAATATATATATGAAACACCTTAAGAAAGCTTTAAAAATTAATAACTGTACATAATAATATTAATAATGAAATATATCTACTGGGTATGATAATTTTAATAATCACTGAATCGATCTTTAGTTCGTACACATAAATGTTAATTTTATCAATGAAAATGTTAGAACAGTGTAACTTGTTGCCAAATAGAAAGCATAAAACAAACTATAGACCACGTCATCCTTACTAACCTATGTTGTTAGTTACATAAAGTAATAATAAATACATCCAATATAATTTAGAAAAATTAGTAGAACTATTAAAAAGCTACAGATGAGTGATTGTAAATTTTTAGATTTTAGTATCAAATAATGATTATTATAATTATTATATACGAAAATAAAACAATAATTATGTTTAATGTTCTTTATTTGTACGAGTCATTTGTCGAACAATAAATAAAAAATATTTAATGAAAATAAATGATAAACTGATACAAAATAATAATATTATGATGAAGATGAGATAAAATAATTCAACAATAATATAAAAATAGTAATAAAATATTATAAGAATATAAAAATATATAAAGAAAACATATGCATAAATGTGATTTGAGACAACGATTCATACATGAAATGAGGCACAATATACAGCAAATAATGAATGAAATACTAAACATATAAATTAATTATATACATTATTTACAATATATACATATTTAACTATTAGTTAAAAAAATAAAGATGAGATAATAAACTTTATATGATATAATAAAAATAAGTATAATATGAGGACTTATAAGAAAGGACTAGGATTAAATCACATAATAGCAATACATCTTAGCAAAAGTAATGAAGTAAGAATAATTATAAAATATTTGTTTAAAACAAACTACACAAATACGGATACCGTATACGGTATGAAAAATATACTAATATAGTACAACAGGAGGGATCATACAAATTCAGAACAAACTTTATGGGAAAACAAAACAACGGTAATACTTTACCATCCCTTACAAAGGGGTACAATAAATATTTAATAAATACCCTTATATCTATAAATAAATAGATCGTAACACCTTTAATGTCATATCGTTCGTATAGCTAAGGAATACCTTGGGTCATAAAATCGAGCCTTGTGTGACCCATTCCTTAATCAGATTTTACATGGCCAGAATAAGCCAGGTTTTGGGCTTCATCAATTGATCTTCCCCATCCATGACCACTGCTTGCGTAGTGTTCTTCGTGATGTGGATGTGCTACAACCTCGTAGCTGGTCTCGTGGTGTTTACTGGCTAGAAGCTTCTTCAAAGCAAGGATACCTGCGACTAGGAGTGCTATCTTGGCTAAGAGAACGGCTTTGGTGGCAGCAAAGGCAATGATACCAAGGAACAGAGGGATTAGAGCCATGATCTTGAGTTTAGCAATAGCCAAGAGAGGAAGGAGCTGCTTGATCTTCTTCTTTTTGCCGCGAGCTGTACAAAAATTAACTCAGTTTAATTTATGACTTTACTATACTACGTTGATGTTGAACGATATTTAGTTTTTTTTTAAGAAATATCCTTAATTCGATTGCAAAGATAAAATCAAGGTGAACAAATATTTGCTAATTTCACAAACTTTCTTATTTAAATCGAAAGTGGTTTTAGAGGTATTTCACATTCTATTCTAAATTCCTGATATCAGGTTTTTTGCACCAACTTTATTTCATAGTAATTTTATTCATAGATGCTCAAATTATAATAGTCATAATCTATATAAATAAAAATGAATCACCGAAATGTATGTATGTACACGGATAAGGTCCGATTGACTGCACCAAATTGGATAATTCTTTTCTTTTGTGTTTTTTATTGTCAGGACAATCTTTGTATACAAAAAAATTAAAAGAAAAAAAAAACTAAAAAAGATTTTTTTAAATCATATGATACGAAAAGTGATTGAGGGAAATAGGTTTTATCCCGGAAATCATCCCTTAAGTGGGTGGAAATAGAGATAAAATTTTGTATGGGGAAGCAAGCCAGAGAGACAGGGCAGGTTGCTAGTGTACATATTGATATGTATAACATATTGTTACACTTTTCATAGCACATTAAGCTGCTTAATAACTATATACGATTTGATTGACTTATATTGATTGAGTTAATTGATAAACTGTTATAAAATTAATTTATATGCATAAATACAATTAATTTTCTATATTTCACCACTACAATCATTATAAATCTTAAAATCAATTTTAATTAAAAGGCATCTTCGCATCAAAAAGTGTATCGTAATTGTCCAATGGTAGTGGCAGATCAACTTTCTTTAAAGAAGACTTGGGAGCGGCTTGTTATGGGTCGATTTCTCGATGACTCGCCAACAAAACTGGTTTGTTCATGAAAGCTTGAAGGACTTTGAGCGGAAATGTCTAATGACCGTAGGAGGAATGTACCACTTTCATGGCCTAGTGCGGATATAATGTTAATCACGTTCGTAGAAGGACGTGGTATGTGTGCAAAGTAAATGTGCGCATTCCGTTTCTGTTATGAATGAATATAAATACGGTTTTAGTATTTGAATAATGTTAGTAGGTCCTTTGAATATATAAATTGAATTGATTAAATTTCGATCCGTTCCGTCGTATGTTCGTCCGAAGTCTACGAAGTTTTTCAAATAATGCTTACACTTTATTATTTTGATTTTATATAATTACATAATTACTATTATTATATTGTGTGTATTATTCAATACCAATATATTTAAGTTTCTTTTACCGCATCTATTGAACAAAGTTTCATTGTATTCCATGTTTTCTAATAAGCTGTAAAAACCGCTAAGTTGAATGGGACCACTTGCTAACAAGCTGTAGACATGAATGGATATTCAATGGTAGCCTCACTTGTCCATCACCTGTTTTTAATATTATAGATATTTCGCTATACTTTTACAGTGTTTTTGCTAATATAAATTTGTCTACATTACGTCAAAAGTTGGTCTAATCTATACTAATATTATAAAGAGGAAAGATTTTTGTTCGTTTGTTTGTACTGAATAGGCACCAAAACTGTTAAACCGATTTGGATGTTTGGTAAGAAGACAGTTTGACGAGCTTGAGACGAGTTTTTGTCTCCGAAATCATTCTTCAAGGGTGTGAAAATGGGAATAAAAGTTTGTATGGAGAAGCAACCTAGGGACGAACACAAGCGAAGCGAGGGTGAGTCGCTAGTCACTTATAACTTTAACTAGTTTCTTGAACTTTAAAACAGTAAAGATGATAAAAATACAAAAATAAACAATAATATTACGAGCTTTACACAAATATAAACACACAAATTATATCTCCTTGTAATATTTTTCATGTAAGATAATATGCTTTCTGATATTTTAAACTTCAACATTTTAATTAGTTAACATTTTTAAAAAGACAGCTATGTAAGATTTATGTAACATGTCAATGGAGATATCAATTCCGCGTCTTAAAAGTGAAAGGATCTTTTTAATTTATCATACGTAAGTTTTGTTAAAATATTTATGAATCAATTAATTTTTAATAAACTTATAAATGAATTCTGAGAAATTAATAAGATAACAAATATATGTGTTTATTTAACGTGTTTCTAAATATTTTTAACGTAAAAAAATATTTTTCCTCATATAGTTTGAAATATGAAAATCTGCTGTAAGCCAGACATTATTTTAAGAAAAATAAAAAGAATGAACCGCAAAGTGTATCAAATAAAAAGTAAAAGTACGAACGGTCAGTAAATTAGATTGTCACTGAACTTTAAAACGTGAGTTGATGTTAAACTGCAGTTCAGATATCCGTAAGACGTTACTGATAAATTTTTAATATTGTTAATATTTTTCTCATTTAAATCAAAATCATCTCAACAATATAACTAAAACATCTTCAAAATTAAATTAAGTATATGTATTTAAAGATTAATATATTTATTAACTAGCATTGCCCTAGGCTCCGCCCGCGTTCAGATGGCCAAAAACCAAATTCTTAGGTTTTACATATTAGTATACTCTTACATTGCAGTTTTTGTATTTTTTCCCAGAAATGAGATATTTTCCCTTGGTAAAAAGTATCCTATATGTTGACCCGGATAACCGGCTGTCACCATACCAAATTTCATCAAAATCCCTCCAGTGTTTTTTCTGTGATGCGGTAAAAGACAGACAGATAGACAGACAGACAAAATTTCTAAAAACTCAAAAGATTCGGCCTCTGTATCGATAATAATGTTTATTTCAATAAGATTTTCCAAAAAATTTTTTACGCACAGATTCGGCTTAGTTACAATTTTATTATATGTATATATATTAATATACATTATACAGCAATTAAGAATTAAACATATAAATACATATAAATGGACTTTCAAAAAGTAAGAGGGAAAGTCTACTCATTACGACTGTTTTCGTACATACAAGTACATATGTAATATCTTCGCTAAATATAATTGCAAATTGAATCGATATAAGACCATAATCTCATTTATTTATTAAGTGTGGTCCCATATTCTTAACCCCCGACGAAGGGGTGTTATAAGTTTGACTGCTATGTGCGTGTATGTCTGTGGCACCTATCTCTTTAACGGTTGAACCCATTTGGATGTGGTTTTTTTGTACTTGAAAGCAGGTTTTCTAGCGGTAGTTTTTAGACATGTTTCATCAAAATCGGTTCAACCGTTGGTTTTTTTTCATTAATTATGATGGGTGTAAAAATAATTATTATGATATAAATTATTGCAACACTATATTTATTATAATAACTTCGATTATTATTATTTAATAACGTATAAATTATGATTATTGTGCTAAAGTTAAACAGATAAAATAGTATCATTTAACCACTTAGATCGTTGTTTTGCTCCATTTCTTTAACATTGAAATAAAGTAAACCGCAAGTTATGCTTTTTTATTTTTCGTCTCGCCGCGACCTACTTCAGTTTTATTTTACCTTTTATATGCTGTAATACTTTCTTTTGTTGTTATATTCTTTTAGCATGTTCTTTTTCTGTATTTCATAATCTTGTGCAATTCTTTCGTGGTAAAAAATGAAAGTAATCGCCTTTCGATTCTAGGTTTAGTGCTTTGTTTGTGCATGAATAATGAATTAGCATTGACATGAGCTTTGTAAAGCATTTACGTGTTTTGTAAACAACATTTTACTGTTTATTTAAAATCTGGATCGATTTTTTAGTGTAGCTTGGTGATTAATTAGATCAAATACGATGGAGTCTTACCTTCTTCGAGAGATCGCTTCATGCCCTCAACAGCAGATGTTGGCAAACGGAATTGGATCACATGGTTTTCTAGGAAATCTGCAGCGGAATCCACTAGCCTGGACTCTACTTGGGCTTCCCTAGCTTTAGGTTCATCAGCCAGAGGCTCGAAGGCCCTCGCAGATCTCGGAGAACCAGTACCTAAAAGGGTCACACCCTCAGCAATACTCATCTCCCTCGCCGATGATAAGCTGTCCACATACTTCAACGCTTTCTCCTGCAACCAAAAACAAACTTAGTAAATGCACTATCACAACACTTGTTACTTGTTATACCACTTATTGTTCTAGAACACACCTTAAGACACAAGGACACATCTCCATCAACACATTCCTTAACCACTCCTAAGACGCTGCCAACTAAGCCTGGGTCCTTTTCTGAATCTAGGGCAGGCATGCCCTGGGCCGCAGCCACTAAAAGTAGGACAAATGTGCAACGTATCATGTTTGTTCACCCCTACGGAAAGCTAACTCAAAGTGGTGCTACGCTGTATAGTCGGACAGTTTTAAGTCTCTCACCCCACCACTATTTACCGCATCAAAAGTGAACTTAAAGGCCGCATAAACTAGTGCGAAAGAATTGTTTCACGCTAATAAATTACGTGCTTGGATTTTTGTCTCGATTAACTATTTTTCTATGTAAATATCATGGGTTCTACGGAGTTTGACAATTCATATATAATTTTCAATTATTTTTTTATTTATTTTTCGTGTATATTTGAAGTAACATACTTTATTTATAATAAAATCAAATAATATGGATAATTTATACTGTAACTCAGAATAAACTGCGTAGTTTTCTGTCATAAATAAGATTCAAAACTATTAGATTGACTGTAGTAAAATAAAAAAAAATCATAGTACATGCTTAAAGAAAATGTTAATTAAATAGTATTTAATTAATTTAAAATAAGGTTAATTTCAAGTTTCTGGTATCACAGAGAAATTGTATTCTCATCACGTTTAATAATATTTGTTTGTATACATTTTCTCATGAAAAGAACAATGGTCACTAAGAAATAACTTATCACAGCATCTACACTTTCCAACCATGTTTAACCTGTTCTAAATACTTTAGTTAGTATCTTCAAAAAGTTTTGGGATTCTTTCTAGAAAAAACCATAGAATTTTCTATGAATAAGCATAAAATAATGTATATAACTTTATCTAGTTGTAAAAAATAGAAGATTGATGCAATAAAGTAGTTTTAAGACAATAATAATTATATTAGTGTACAGATAAGATGTATATTAGTGTACAGAAGATGTGGAACAGGACCTAGCATTGGATGGCTCCCACCACAATGCACCTAAAATATATAAGAAATGATTTTAAAACTTAATGGACCTATTATTTACATAAGTTATAATTAAAAGTGAAAAGTTACAAAATTGTACAACTTAACTGTACCTTCACTGACAAGTAGTGTATAAAATAATTATGAAAATGATTCAATTTCCATTTCATCTCAAGAACATAAAAGGAATACCGTGGAAATAAAGAAGTTTAGGATTTTAGACAAGAAATAGACAAAAATAAACATAGGTCAGGGTGATTGTTTTATAAATAACTAGCAACTCGGTCCCGCTCTGCTCGGTTCGGCCCTAGTTACGTTAAGATATACATATTAATATTTATATTTAGATAGATATACATATATTTCTCAGAGATGAGATATTTTTGCAATAAAAAGTATCATATCCTATATATGTTGACCCGGATAACCAGCCAGCATCATACCAAATTTCATCAAAATCTGTCCAGTGGTTTGTTCGTGATCCGTTCCCAGTCAGACAGACCGAATCGATAATAATGACTATTTCAATAAGATTTTCCAAAAAATTATTAATGTACAGATTCAACTCAATTACAATTTTATTACATGTATAGATTAGTACCTGGACGACCGAGCTGCATTTTGCCTTTTTTTGGGAGAAGATTTATAAATTTCGTTTTTCAGCAAAAAAAGACCTATATGTGTAGATAAAGAAAGCAAAATCTAATCTAAATACAACATTTGATCCAAATCGTTATAGCCGTTTCCAAGATACACATATTATATACATGAATTGTTAATTTAATATAAGTTAATAACTAAATATATAAGTAATAAACATATTTTTTTTCATACAAATTGTTTTTATAAACGTTATATTCGCACTTTAATATTTCTCAATTTCGTTAAAATAAAAATGTATTATAAATGTTCATATTTTAAAATACATATTTAATATTAATATCCATTAGTTTTGGAGAAAGGTGAAAATGGTTACGACCCAGTTACGATAAATAATTAAAATAATTGAGATCATTACAATTATTATTACGTTGATAGACTGTTTTGCTTTAAATGCATATATATATATATATATATATATATATATTTACTGTGTCTTTGTCCTAGTAGCGAACAGCGAACATTACTACGGCTATTAGATCAACAGGCCATAGGTTCGAATCGCGGATCGTGTTAAATATTTCTTTCAAGAAGTTCTCAGTAACAACCTGGAGTTGGGAAGTTGAAGGTGTTATACAACTCTGTATTGGAAAGCCGTTGGTCCTGATCTCGGACTGGTCATATTAAATTGTCGTTCCACCGGGTTTTGAGAGTGAAAGGAATAAAGAGTGTACTTGTGTCTGCGCGTACACTTGTGCACTATAATATCTCCTGCGCAGATGGCTAGTCTCAGTCAGTTAGCTCTCCGTAACCGCAGCCTAAGATATTATTTAAATAAATATAATTAAAAAAAAACATAAATCATTAGAAAGATTTTAATTATTAGTAAAAGCTATTAGTTGTCACTAACTTTGACCATGTTTGTGTTTTTTTTGTAAAAGATCAAATAACACTGAGTACAGTGACATTTAATTTAACCTTTAATCTATAACTTATATTATTTATTAATATTTATAAATAATTATTATAAATCAGTGGCCGAATAACAAATAATATAATTTAATGGCACAGTATCAGAAACTTAGTTATTTGAGCTCACATAGTATTATTATAATAAAATTATGATATTTCAGCCCTTTTAACTTTCAGTGCCTTTTTCTCCTGGTTTCAAGCTATTTTCTTTCTTTTTTTATTTAGGAGCTTTCGACGAGCTTTAGGGTTATCAATAAAAAATCTTAGAAACTGTTAGTTTTTTTTATACAGTAAGTAAATTCTATACATACTTGTATATACTTTCCTCAAACTTTGAATAATATTTATGGTCAAATTTCGACCACTGGGCGAACAATATTTATTTTAACTCCTCCTAAGTTTGTTTTTATTCGGGGCAATCTTAAAATATGAAGTACAGATTTTTATAGGGCTTTCAAAAGTAACAGAGATTCTAGACTATAATTTCAAAAGCTACCAATATGATGATTCATCTCAGTAAATCAATTTGTTAAAAAATTAGCATATTAAGCTACTTGAAAATAAATAACAAGGTATGAATGCTGCTTAAAGATACATACATATGAGCACATGTGACCATAGTAATTTGAAAGTGAAATAAACATGTATACTTTCGCATTACGCTTCTATTATATATATAAACGACATTTTATGGTAAGAATTCTCGTAAAAGATAAATAAACCTGTTGTTCTACTTGGAAAATATATTATATTATAAACTAGCGACTTATTCTCCCTTCACTCGAGTGCTTCATTCTTTAGACCTCGTATATATACGAGTATGTGTACTGTTTATTCATTTTCACCTCACTTGAGCAAAAACGACGTGCACACACCCACGCACGCACGCACGCACGAACACACGCACGCACGCACTCACGCACGCACTCACGCACGCACGCACGCACGCACCCACGCACGAACGGACGCACGCACGCACGCACGCACGCACACACGCATGCACGCACGCATGCACGCACGCACGAAGCACGCACGCACGCATGCACAGATATACACACACACCACGCACTCACACATATACAAAATATCGGATAATAGTCCGATTTGACAGACTAGAGGGTCAGAGACCTGACCTATTTTTAACAGTCTGTGTCTGTTCGTATGTTTCAGTTTTTCATAGACCTTAGAGTGGATATATGGTAATTTATCTTCATATCATGGGTGTTTGTATAATATAATATGTGGTATACTCTAAATGATTAAACAGATAGTTAATGTAACAACTTTTTTATTGAGTTTGTTACATAATTTGATTTTCATTTAAGAAACTTATATTTTACATATACATCAGTTATGTAGATGTATATTATAATTAAGTTTGAGTTTAAGTCACAATATTAGAAGTAGATTACGGACGCTTCTAACATATGCGTTAGGAACTGGCAGACAGCAAAATATAATAGTATACATACATATTATAGTACATTAGTAAATATGTATATATTATATACATATGTATAAAGTTTTTTATTTAATTATATACCTATCTACATATTAATCTATAATAATATTATAAATATGAAAGTTTGTTTGTTTGTTTGTCCTTCTTTCACGTCAAAACGAAGTGACAGATTGTCGTGATTTTTTGTGTGGACATAGTTGGAGGGTCGGTAAGTGAGATAGGCTACTTTTTAGCGCGGGTGATTATATAATACCCACGGGAAAATACGTTATAATACAACCTTAAAATATATTTATGATCAGTATTACTTGAAACTTGGTATTAATGCTCTTCAATAAAATTAAATAAATACGTGTTTTAGCATTTTTCGAAATTCATCCTATAAGGGGGTAAAATAGGGAATGAAAATTTGTATGAAATTACCTTTATAGAGATTTTTTTGTAGTTTTAGCGTGAGCGAAGCCGCGGGTACTGCTAGGTATTAATTATTATAATCTATTCATTAAAAAATATTCGCAAAATATATTTAGTTATAACGCTTGAAGCTTAAGTATCAAGATCTACTAATTTCTCTATATTATGTCAGTGAACTGTCAGCTAATTAGTTGTATTGAAATAATTTGCATATTTCATATCAAGATAATACATATCTTAATTTCTAATACGATTGAAAAGTTTCTTTTGTAAATAGTGCGGCGGATAATATACATATACCATATATGTATCTTATGTTTCGGTCATCATCATAAAGCATATATAAAGATATAACTACAATTCACATCCAAACTAATTTTATATACGTTAAAGTAACTCTGTCTGTTTGTTTGTTAAATTTCACATAAACTACCTTTTATTAAAAAAATAAAACAAATTCAAAATCGGTGAAGCCGTTTCGGAGATTAGCCGATACAAACAGACAGACAAAAAATATAAAAATTGATTTTCTGAGTCTAAGTACCGTATACTTTCATATGCCTTTTGTAAAAAACTGTTATTTTGGCCTAGAGCCTGTGAACGCCAGACCTTCGACATTTTATAAAAGCTGAAAGTTTGTCAGCGCATGCTTCCAACACAGATAAGAACGATGGACCATTATGAAGTTCAGGCTATGGTG